ACCGCGGCGCGGGGGACCTGAGCCCCACGTGGCGAAACGTTGAAGGGCGCTCCCGGGCTCTTAAGCGGCTGTTGATCCCGTTAACGCGTGTGCTCGTCCAGCATGTCCTCCGACCAGACCAGGAATGTCGTCAAGAAAATCATTCGCGAGATCGGGCAAGAATGCGCCACCCAGGGACAAACTGTGTCTGAAACCTTAGTGGCTTTCATGGTAAGGGCAAAGTAAATGTTCAGGGCTGCTTTCCTTGTTTTATTATTGTTATTTCGTATGGGTGCTCTTCTAATCACCTTCGAACTCTGCTATGGAGCGTAAAATATTGAGCTAAATACGTATTGATGGCCTACAGACGAGAAGTTTCAGACCTGTGTGCCTGTAGCTTGGCAGTTCCAGCTGGTTTTTAAGGCATTCATGAGGGATTAATTTTACACAGGATCAACAGTTCCCCCAAAGTCGCTGGCACTGCTTGGACTGAAAGACATAGGAGAGGATGGCAATGATGCCTTCGGTCTTAAAAGTCAACAAACTTAAAATGGCAGGTCCGTAGCTGGGATGGCAGCAGTGAGGCTTTCAGGGGTAACTTGGGCTTTGAAATATCTTGGTTTCAGATTGCCCACACTACGAAGTTTTAAAGCGATGTTGAGTGATATTCAATAGAGGGTCCTAAAAACATAGAAAAGTATTTAATTTCTCTGAAATGCTATCTGTGTGACTATAAGGCCTGAAAAGGCTGCAGGCCCTGAGTTTTGGGAACTCTTTGAACTCCAACTCAGAGCTCTCCGTCAGGTTTCTTCTGCAGACAGAGAAACCATTTGGGTTTGTTTCTAAAGTGAGAAAGAGAAGTGTTCCCCCAAGTTTTAATAACATTTCTTCCTGCTCTCGTAAATGAACAAAAAGGCATGACTCATAGGCAAATGTTTATTGCAGCAGCTGTATTTATGCTTTGACATTTATCTCTTCCCTCTACTGTGATGGATTCTTTTATTTGTTTCCCTGCTTTGGCAGGGCCACGTAGTATAAATGGGCTGAATTTTTGAAGGAGTGGGCTTGGATCCCCCTTAAACTAAAAATGAAATGGAATCAATCTTCGTGTTGACCTTGGTAGACAACTTAAGTATCCTAAAAAATATTACACACTTTGGCATCTGCTCTTAGGAGACGCAGCGCTGCTGCAGAATATAGTCCGAATGCATCTGCAAAGCCGTGTCTGAAGAAAGATGGAGCCAGGTTCTTTTTTTATTGATGGTATAAGAACAGAAGCAGCTCTCAGTAAACTTGTATATGAATGTAAATGGTTCACAGCAGTACAGTTAGACTGCCTTTTCTTTTTGTAAATGTGACATCATGGCTTTAAAAAATTAGATTGGGTTCAGAAGCAGTATTCGTCAATTAAACATGATCAGTAAAAATCATGTGAGTTTTAGTGAGTGGAAATCCTGTACTGGGCAAGATACGCAGCATGCATACCAGCTGCAAACATGCAGGTATTTCCCTGTATGCAGAACACAACGGATTTTTTTATCCAAATGGCAAACATTTATATCAATGCATAAAACAACCACAATGGATTTTTATAAAGTTTTACTTAGAAAAATATTTTTCTAGGAAAGTTTTTAAAGGAGATGCATTTACATATTTCTCTGCAAAGTTTGCACCACAAAGAGATTTTTTTTTCCCTTATGTCTGAGAACTGAGATTGAAACTGGCAGTATGTGAAATGATGTAACTTTGTTTCATTATCAAAGATTGAAATGAAAGAAAAGACTAGTAAAGAAATACTGATTGCATTAGAGATTTTTCAGAAAATAACAGGTTAGTTGCAGAGTATATGTTGAGATGTAAATTAATAGCTTTCTTTTGGCAATCTCTAGGTGAAAGCTGTTGCTTTAGATCCAAGAAATGACTTAAAGGTGGATCAAATCCTTACAAAAGAAGATATGCAAAATATTATCCAGGTAATTCTAACATCATGCTGAGAGTCAGCACTTAGTGAAGACTATAGTGTTATTTGCTACCTCTTCCTGTAGCTAAAATGCCATTTTATTTTGGTATGAACACTTTCAAAATTTTAATGCTACTTTTTCTCTCACGGTTCTGTAGCCAAAGACTGGGCTATGTGTTTCCTCGTGTAAATAAATGACTTCTATAGAGAGAATGGTAGTGAGGGGGCACTACTGCAGCTGTGATACCTGTAGCATAGTCCCTGGCAGTTCAGGCTTTTCCCCAGAGACAAGAACTCACTTCTCTTTCTCTCTTCTTAGCTCTGTGTTACCAGGCTGCTCGACACAACAAACCCATCCCTGAGCACAATTAAGATGCAAGTTTACTTTGATACAAACTACGCGAACCGAGGTAATTTCAAATACGTTTTCATAGAAGAAGCTGATGCTGAGTTAAGGATTTAACAGCTCACTCTGTAGGGATAACAGTGATTCCTCTTAAATGACTGCTGGCAGTACAGCAAAATAAAAATCCCTGGAGGACTGTACTACATAGAAGTATGGTGTTTCAGTATGGATATGGTAGAGGAATAAAGGTACATTAGATCTGAGAGTACACTCACCCTGTCTGAGAGGCTTACTGAACATAATGGGTTAGATCGCTTGAGAACAGTTACGCTGTCAGGTGCAGTGGATAGCTGCCTTCAGCAAGAAAAACTTGTGCTGCACCTGTGTATCTGAAAGAGAGCCAGTACCCAGAACTGCATGTGTCTGAAAGAGAACTTGATGTTTTATCAATAGCCCTAATTGAGAGATATGAGCAATCTTGAACAATCAGTTACAGTTTTAACTGAGTATGTTTTGGTCTTATTAGTGGTAACTTCATATGGTCTGAGAATGGGAATGTGGATGAAAAATTACGTGGGGAAAATGTCTCTCCGGTAACTGTAACTTTAGATCTGAATGGGACAGTGAGGGCTGGCTGGGAAACAGAGGACAGAACAGAAGTAGACAAAAAATAAACATTTCTGTGTGGGGAGGCAATGAAAACGTTTTCTTGTTAGCATGGATTAAACCCAAAAACTAGCAACACTACAAAGCTGCTCCAAAGTCCTTTGAACTCAAACAGCTCAGTAAGCTCAGTTAGTCCAGGAAGATTCTGAGTAGTCTTCAGATTTGAGCATGTAGCTTCAGGGATGTATTGTGTGTGTGTGTGTTAGGTCCTGCTGCAGTCAGAGATGTCCAGAAAACTAGAGACTTGCTGCTTAATTTGGCCTGAATAGTTCTCCGGACTCTACTGACCAGTGTTAATCATGATAATAATGTTAATGTTTAACTCCACTGTTGTTAATTACAATGGTATGATACCTTAAACATCTCTTCCACATTTCTGTGCTTCCAGAACCTGAAGTCAGTGCTCTGACTTGAATGGAAATGAACCGTTCCCTCTGTATAAGCCAAATTCTAAAGAATTTAGATGGCACTTTCTAACTGTTCTTCTTTCCTAGCTGAACTGCTCAGTGAGCAGCACCGTGTTCTGGAGGCAAGGCTGGCTCCTGTGGTCAGAGATATCACAGATAGTTGTCCTCATCTTCAAGAAGAAATGGAAAATGTGTATCGAAAGATCGTTACCTATGTGTTGCTGGCCTCTGGCCTCGGATCCCCAACAGATATTGGGGTTGTCAGGGAGGTAGCAGGTCAGTAAACTCCCAGGTGTGAAACTGGGCTTTTCTTACAGAAAAATAAAATCTCATCTTCTCTTTGCTGATCTTTAGATACAGCTGTGGTACACTGGGGTGAATGCTTGCTACCTACTGTCACTGCTCAGCCTCGAAGTCTAAATTTGCCATGGATTTCCTACTTTTTGCAGTTGTTCAGGAGAGGGTATTTTTGCTTGCTTAATGATTTTTCTTTTCTGTTCCCTCATACCTTATGCTTATAGCTGCCCTGCAGAGTGTATTCCCCCAGAGAGAGATAATTACTTTCACCTCACTTGCTAAGAAGAACAAAGAGCAACAGCTGAAAACTCTTGCCATGCTAGTCACAGGAATTCGGTTGTACAACAAGGAATGCAGGAAAGGAGGAAGCAGCATTGATGACTGTAAGTAGACAACTGCATTTGGGCTGTGTATTCCCAAATAATTCACCCCGTCTTTCTTCACTGGAGCAGCTCCAGTAATATCCCATCTCTAGATAAACAGCTTTGACTCAGGGCCTGTAAATCTGAAGGAAAAGTAAATATTTGGTATTGATTCTAGGATTCCATGTAGGCTACTGCTTTTTAGCTAAGAGGGAGCCCTATGTGGTTGATGTGGAAGGATTATATGTATTAACTTGGTGCACTGATTTACTTCATGATAACTTGTTCCATAATCCCTTGCCATTAAGTTAATTGAATATGTAATGCTTGCCTTTGAAAATAATTAATTAAAATCTTAAAAGGACACTGTCAATCCAGTTACAATTTTCTGTTGCATATGTGTGATGAGAAGTGATAAAAATTGCTGAGGCATTATCTGTATTCTGGTAATTTAGTGTAACCTCTTCAGATTCTTAACATGTTCCCAAAAATCTTCTATCTTGAATATTTCTGCTGCTTTAATAAGCAAAAAAAAATAAATGTCAGTGGCTATCCTGGAATTTTTCAAAAGCTGTATTCAGTGCAGGGCAAGACTTTGCTATTCCTCTCACTTTCTCTTTTCCCAGAAAAAAAACCCACATTATTTCTGGTCAATTTACAACTAATAACCAAATAAATGACTGGTCAGTAGACATGTTTTTGTGAATATGCATGTAGTATTGTAGCTCATTGTGGCGACTTCTTTGTAAAAAGGGTCTGCAGCCCAATTTTAGGGTAAAACCTTTTATTTTAAAAGACAAAGTTTCTAGAATAAAGGCTGCAGCACGTACTTTTCCTGATAAGAAAATGGTGCTTTATTGGGAAGCAAAGCACTGGCTTATCTGGATGGGATTTTAGTAAAACACAGAAAAAGAAATAGCAACTTTTTAGATTTGGTGATTTATTTTTTTTTTCTCACATGCTAAGCAAGGCATTGTTGGTTTTCTATTTTTATAACATATGCTTTCCCACAAATGTCAACTTTCTGTGTTGTGGCTGAGTCTATTCTAGGTTCACTGGGCCTGCGTTACAGTGTGAGGGAACATTCAACTATTGTGGTTCTATAAAAGGCACAATTTACAACATGTTGTGGTCTTTGTCACTATAATATCTGTGGGATTTAGGATAGATGGTATGATTGTTAATCCTGTTACCTGTGTTGGCTTATTATAATATGGGCTTCTTTGCACTGAGCTGTTTACATATAGCTTAATAGAAAAAAACACAGCATGAATGCTCTTAGGTCAGGAGATAAAATGGATGTCTTTATGCTTATGGCCAGTAGTTAGACCACTAAAGCTTTAATCTAAGTGTTAGCAGCAGTCTCACCAGGGCTTGGCTTTCTACCCTGCTTCTAAAAAGTAAATCAGCCAAGTGCTCAGATTCCGCCAGCTGTGGTTAGACTGCTCGTAATACCTGTACAAATTTACTTGCTGTTCTAGCTTTGTTAAGTCTAGTCTTTCTGTGCTCACAAGGGTTTAGGTAGACATACCTCAAGCCTAATTCCTGCACTGCTGCTTGCTGGTGTTGCTAGCAGGAAAAGTATTTTACAAATGAGGAAACCAAGAATGGAAAATTGTGCTAAAAAGAAATGCATGAATATAAGGATAAAATTTAAAGATCAGAATTTTATTGGAAGACTGCTTTGCTCAAATACTGCATTTCAGCCATTTGCTAATGATTTGAATAATTCTTTTTATGCATATCTCATATTTATTCTGCACAAATAGTGCCAGCCATTCTGAATGAAGCCATTCCATCAGCTACACGGACTATCGATGAAGGTCTCAATAATTGCCATATACTGGCCCACCGGTACACAGCTCTGCTGGAATCCATGCAGGAAGACCAACACAGGCATACACAGCTTAGTTCTTTTAAATTAAAAGAAGCACTATTCAATGTGAGACAATATGAGGCCTTCCTTTGCATCCTTCTGGTGAGATACTGTCATATTCTATCCTGTAGATTTTTACTGCAGATGGAATGTATTCAAGTTGCCTGCTTGTACGGGACAGATATATAAGAAAAATAATTCAGAAATAAATTAAAAATTAAAATAAAATGTATAGAATCATAGAATCATTTAGGTTGGAAAGGACCTTGAAGATCTTTGAATCCAACTGTTAACCTAACACTGCCACATCCACAGCTAAACCACGTCCATAAGTGCCACATCCGCACATCTTTTAAATACCTCCAGGGATGGTGGCTCCACCACGCCCCTGGGCAGCCTGTTCCAATGCTTGACAACCCTTCCAGTGAAGCCATTTTTCTTAAAATCCAATCTAAATCTCCCCTGGTGGAACTAGAGGCCATTTCCTCTTGTCCTGTCACTCGTACTTGGGAAAAGAGACTGACCCCCCCCCCACTACAACCTCCTTTCAGGTAGTTGTAGAGAGCGGTAAGGTCTCCCTTCAGCCTCCTTTTCTCCAGACTAAACAAGCCCAGTTCCCTCCTTCATCTGCCTCCTCACCCTGGTAGGGTGGTTTATAACTGATCCTCACCATGATATCTGCTATATGAGAACCTACATCATCTGTCAGACTGAACTTTGCACCTAACTTACTGGGTTTGGCTACTCTTAGGTAAAAGACAAAAAGGATTGTTTGTTTCAGTGTATCTGTGCTTCCATTTAATTTCAGGAGGTTTCCTTTTTTAGTTTAATTTCATTAACCAAAGACTGTAAAAGTAAGACTTTTTTCTTGGTTGCATACTCATATTTGCTCTATCCCAAAAGGCATAAGAGAAAAAACTTGTTCAATCCATAAATCATCTTAGTTTTAGTCTGCAGACATCCCCAACGCATACGGAGTCATCAGAAATCTTTGCAGGACACAATTTAAATTCTTGAAATTTGATTGGATTTTTGTTTGGTTGGGTTTGTTTTTGGGGTTTTTTAAAGACCTTTTCATTTGTCTTTTGAGAAACTGCAGTCTTTCCTGTATATCATAAAGCTTGGAAAGATAGTTCTTTCAAATAATTTTTTTCAGTTCTCTTCACTGTAAAAATATTGAGGTTTTTTGTATAAAAGATTACTAGTATATGTTTGGGAGAAGTGCCTGTTTTTACACCTGAACACTTACAGAAAAATGTATTTTGTGGATAGTCAGGGTACATTTCATTCCTTAAAGCAGTTGTCTCAAATCATTTGAATTAAGAGATCCAAGTAAATACTTATTACTAAATACTTGAGTTTTTGACTGTCACACTTCTTACCCGAAGTAAGTTCTCTTTCCAGTCTGATGCAATTACAAGTGCTCAAGAAGTTGAAAAGATGCATGTGCAGTTTGCAACAACGATGGAGCGCTTGAAAAACACGGTGGAGAATAAGGTTTCTGTAGATGCCAGTGAAGTTTTTGTAAGTATTTTGAATGGAAAACCTGGTTCGTCTTAATTATAAACAAATACTAAAGTATTACAGAATACTTTGCCGATGTATTTTTGTATAGTTTTTGTTATAAAAAAGGCTACCTTTTTGTCGCTCTGTGATCTGCATCTGTGATTTTTGAAGGGGCCAACTAAACAGAAAGGCTTGATCTCAAGGTGAAAGAAAAGCAAGGTACCAAAAGGGAAAGAAGGAATTAAGTGGATTTTACTGTGTAATTTGTCAGTATTTGTAGATTTACAGTGGTATTTTCCTGTTTTTGTAAATATTCTTTCCTGTTCCTTGCAGAAACTGTAAAGATGACAGGTAACAGCTCATCACAGTGTGATTCTTTTGAAGTCCCTTCAGATAGCAATTCCTGTAATTACAGTATGAGTCTTTGATATCATTTTTCTAAAGAAATCAGGTTTATGTGATGGGGGTTTCAGCCTCTTTGCTCCTCGCAGTAGCTTCTGAACCTGTTGGCTAAATTCAGTCAAATTTGTCAGAGTCCGGAGATCTCAAAGTATATAATTTTATGCAAGTTTTGTGAAACACAACCAAGAGACAAAATTAGAGCCCTCCTAAGATCAAGTCTGAAGGACTTACTTGTATGATAAGGCTTATATTTGTAGAAAGCATTCGTTTTAGGAAGCATAGTAGATTTCATTAATATTCTTCGTTTATTCTAGAAAGAATGATTGGGATCTTGCTGCCCTTCCTTCAGTTTCTTCCATTTTTGCAACCATAAAATTTCCACAGCATTAGAGATGCTGATGTATTCCAGAGCTGACTTCATTGGCTGTTCTCATAATAATATTGGTAACATGCATAAAATATAATGTTGTTTGTGTGCATTTCAGATTTGTTCAATCTCCTCCATGTGTTTAGTTGAATTTCCTCTGTGTGTTTAGATGTAACAGGGCACGTTTTATGTCGCTGACACTGAAATCATCATTTATACTCAGAGTTCTTAGGCTTCTGCTGTACATGGGTACATCTGTATGCCAGCATTGCTGCTGGGAATGGCAGATTCCAGATTTGTTGGGAATGCTGTACCACTCTGAAGGGCTTGCACCCCGTTAATCTGTCTCACCTGATGGCCTGGGGGCTGTGGTACCAAGTCATTCTGGAAGCAGGGCAGGCAAAATAACAAAACCTGATTTTTTGCATGTACAAGGTGTGGTTTTACTTCATTTGGTAGTTAACCAGGTGCATTTCTTCTGGTCCTTCTTACTCCTGAACACCTTATTTTCAGTTTTAAAACTGTATGTAGTGAAGCACTGAATTCCAAGCATGTACTCCGAGTAATGTATTTGGGAAAGGCTTTGGTGTAAAATGTAGAAAAGTACCATTCTGGCCGATAGGCCTGTGTGCTGGATGTACATGCTTTGGGCAGATGTGAAGGGAGCTCCTCTTACAATGCCCAGGAGTTTTCCTGGAATTTCTGGGTGCTGAAGGCCTTGGAGATCAGCCTCACTTTGTTCATAGCAGGGATTGTTGTGCACAGCACTTGGGTTACACTGCAGAAATAAACCAATTTGGATTTCAGCTCATTTTCTTTACTTTCTAGCCTCTCTTTGTTGCACTTTCTAATCTCTGGACCGGCTTTCAGGATGAAATGCTACTGCTAAAGTTCCTTGCAAATATGACTAACAATCTGCAACAGTTCTCAGAAATCCAATCACAGCTTTTTCCTGAGGAACTGCTAACATCTCTTCTGGAAGGACTGACTGTGAAAAGTGATGAGGAAAGGTTAAGAGAAACCATGGGTACTGAAAGTTATTACTTTTTTGGTTTCCTTTGATTTCCCAAGATTTTGGGATTTGAATTTTCTTTACAGAAGGTGCTCCATATTTATTTTTTAATAACCAGAATTTGCACAGTAAATTAAAATACATCTTGTAGTCTGTGCTTTTATTTTTCATATCATGTAGTTTGGGCTTTTTCCTTTGTATATAAAATTAAAATAGATTTACTAGATACAAACATGCTTTATAAAAATGGCAGAATGATCAGGGGAGACTACTACTACCTTTTTTTTTTTAATTTGTTAAGTTTGTTTATGTCTTTTTATACCTTTCAGAACTTCTGAAATGGAAGGGGAATAAAACTAATTTAACAGAGCTTTCTTACCAGACATGCTTGTTTGTAAGACGGTATCCCTAGCAACCAAGCTATACTTAAGGGGATTTGTAATGCCTGAGTGGGTGAAAACAAAACAGAAGAATAAGATATTACCTTCCTGTTGTTGTTCCCTGCTTCCAAAGAAAACTAGCGCTGCTAAAGAAGGCTCTTGCAGGACTGATTTTTCAGTAGGATCTCTCTTAAGGCAGGGCTGAATTGTGGCTTTTGGGATCTTGGCACTGCAGGTGCCACCTGTGAACACCAGGGTAATCCAGTCATGCTGTAACATTATTGTACTTTCAATATCTGATGTTTTGTCACTGAAATCCTTCCTTTGTTAAACCTTTTCTTAGGAACCAGAGTGAATGTTTCTGATTTTGAGAACCAAGAATGGCTTTTTCCAGAGACTACTGATAATTTTGATCGGTTGCTAATCCAGTACCATGGTTTCTGTGCACATGCAATTGGTGTGAAAGGCCTCACCCTCCCAGGTATGCTTTGTAATTAAGTCTTTTCCATACCTTACATGTACACAAGTAATAGGGAAAATATAAAGGTATGTTCTGAATGCATCCTCTAGTTAGAGTACTGTGTTATCATGTTTGTAATTTTCACCCCAGATAACTTATTTCACCAGTTAAAGTAATTTTCTTTAAAAATTACACAAATAAACTGCCCTAAATAGAAGGTTCTCAGGAGAAAGCAGGCACAAGCAAGCAGAGGCAGAAACAAGATGGAATGGATAAATGTTTCCAACTGCTGCATTTGCCCCCGTATAACCTACACTGCAGCTGAATGCAGGCTTGTTTACTGCTGTTAATGTGTTTTAATACAGGCATAGGAAACTGGTCATTCCTTCTATTTCACATATCTGTGTGTTGCAAGCACACCCATTCATGCCTACATCATATGTATTTTTAAATAGTTTTTATAATGTACCAAAAATCTTCTCTGAAAAGAAAGCAAAAGTGCACTTGATAAAGTCAAGGGATCATAGGGATTTTTTTGGTCTCTTCTAGGGTCATTTGTCTTGAAAGCAAGCCTGATTTCAGCTACCCCATCAATTCAGGTTTTGTGTCTCCCTATCCTTTATAGAACCTACCCATATAGGATTATTGGGGTTTTTTTAAATCTAAGGAGTTTGGGTGAAAAATATTGCCATTAATTGGCAGTATTAAAAAATACGTATTTTAGCAGCAGTGTAAATTGCTTATTTAGTATCGCATGTGAGAACAACTGCCCTGGATTGGACCAAAGGTCTCTCTAGCCCTGTATCTAACTTTTGAACACGGACAGTCATGAATACTTGAAGATTATGAGAAATCAAGTAGGAATGATCCTTCCTTAATTATATCCTTCCCTGTTCTAGCAGTTAGTGGTTATGGGATTTCCTCAGATAAATGCTGAGACTGTAACCTTCTGCTGAATAATCCTTGAGAGACATTTTTCATTTATCTAATTGCTTGTTGAATGCATTTAGAGTTTGCCGTGGAATATTATTACTGTCAAGAGTCCCACAATTATATGTACTATGAAAAGGTACCTCTTTTTGAGACAGTTTTAAGCTCTGGCTTAGTAATTTCATCAAAGACCTGATAGACTTTCGATTAGGAAAATTAACAAATAGTAATTTTATACTGTACACAAATCATGGTTTTATAACCTCCTATCATATAATTTATTTTTGGTTGCTTCTTTTTGATGCTGAAGAGGCCTCTTTCTTTAACCTCTCCTTCTGCGAAAAGTATCCCAAGCCTCTGCTCATTCCCAACTCCATTTTACTTTTTCATATTCTGTTGTGTTGGAACGAAATGTATGATTACAAGTGTGGCATATAGGTTGTTATAATGGTGGGTTTTTTCTCTCCCTCTGTTTGCATCCTAACAATTCCTACGTTCTTTTTGCTTTTATGATTGCCACTGAATAGTGTCATTTAGTATTTCAAGGCACTGTCTATGATGATTCTAGATCTTTCCTGGGCAATGACAGCTGAAGCAGAGTCTGCCACTGTCCTTGAGCTCAATTTGTGTTTTCCTATATGAGTTACTCAGCCTTTATTGACATTTCATTTTCTCTGTTAATTTATTGTCCAGCTTTTCAGCTGCTTCATCTGCTTCTTCAGTTAATTTCAGTGTTATGCCCTTTGGTATAAATGGAGTGCTGGTGTGCAAGCAGATATTTCTGGAGATTATAGGGGAAACATTTGTGGGTATGGGCTGTTTTCTTATGCCTTTGCTGTAGGTGTTTTATCTGTTGTTCTTATGACAGATATGCACTAAGGCGAGCTGAATGTGAACTGACCAAAAGCAGATGTACTGACCTAACAAAATAAACTTGTCTGTCTTTAACAAAGCTTACTTTTAGGTGTTTATTCTGATTTCAGAAAAAAGGAAGTGAAACTGCCTTGAGGAAAACACAGAATCTTGATTATGAATGTATTTTGTATTGGATATAATACTGTTCACCATTTTATTGTGTGGGGTTTGGTTTGTTTGGTTTGTTTGGATTTTTTGGTTTTGGTTGGTTTATTTAATTTTTTTTTTTTTTTTTTAGGAAATCCTGCTATTGGAATTTTGAAGCACAAGGAGAAATGTTATGTTTTCAGTTCCAGAGAAGCTGCTTATATCTTTGCTCAAGATCCAGATAAGTTCATTCAGCTGAATGTAGAAAAAGCAAAAGAATATGCAGAGCTAATTCAGCTGCTTGAGCTTTGTCATCAGTTTGAATACTTTGTTCCATATGCACAGGTACACATTGCCCATGCCTCTTGCTGAACAGCTGTTGGATTACTGGTTGGTCTGTCCTTTCTAGAACATAAAGATAACAGATGATACCAATCTTTAGAATATAGTCATCTGCCTGTCATACAGAATGTCTGAAGGTCCATCTTTTCCACGCCTTTAGAGTGTTGATGAGAAACATTTTCCGTTAATGTTGTTCTCACCTTATCTCTTCATAGGAGAGTACATAGAGCCAAAGGGTTGTGACAGCAATAAAAGCTGTTTTTTCCTTAGACTAGAAAGATCCCGTGTCTGATGTTTCTTTTCATCATTTTTGCAAAACTTAAAGGGACAGTAAATAAGTGCAATAGAAGATAAGCCAGATACCATAATAACTAGAGCTTTATCTTAGCAGTTCATCTGTTATGTGCTGGATGAAGGTGTAATGATATCTGGGGACAGGAATTACGGATTATATTACGAAATGAAAGGGGACTCATTAATCATGAATGCAACAGTGCCACTGTGCGAAATCTAAAGATATTATTTGGATTCATAGACATTCTCTGTGATTCATTGTGAATTCTAGGTCCCTAGCAATGCAAAGAATGTAGTCTTGAACTGGCCCTTGGTGAGAAAGATATAGTTTATATCCCAGCTCTGGCAGAGATGTAAGCACTTCTCCTGGTTATGATTTGTGATTTTTAGTCCATTCATAGAGACAAACTGAGGTGCCTGCTTCATAAAATACTGGTGGTGGTGGTGATGGGGCTCCTTTTGACCAAAATCCAATTATTAAGCTCTCACTCAGGATGTGGAAGTCTGAAATTCAGCTGTGGCCTCTGCCTAAAGAGTTGTCTGTCAGAAATTAAATCCATCAAATACTTAGTGGTTTCTTCTTTTTAGTGGAGGCAGGAATAAAAAAAAACCAAAACACTGTTGAACGTAAAAATCATTATCCACTTGTTGTATTTGCTTTTAAAAAGTAGCATATCCATTTGCTATTTTTTTCTGAGAAGTCTGCATTCTTCTCAGTAATGCCTTGCTTGGTTTTGTTTGTTTGTTTTCATCCAGGCCGGAGCTCCAGACAAATGTTTGATGAAACCAATTGTAAAATGTGACAGTAGTTCTCAAACTGATACGCATATCTTGCCTCCAACCATTGTGACATCCTATGAGTGGAATGAATGGGAAATGAGAAGAAAAGCTATAAAATTGGTTTGTAATGTTACTACCAGATTTTCATTGTTGGATAACAAAATTCAGAATAAATTACTGTAAACTTCTGTTCCTTGCAACATAAATCTAACCTTATTCAAAGACACACACATTGTTACAACTGGCTCACTAGTTTTTTTCCAGGTATTTTCTCTCCTTATCTCTAGACTTCCATGTTCTCTCAGTTCTCCCATATTCTTCCCCAGTTTTTATGACCAGTGCTTCCACTGCTAAGTCTATTCATTCCAAGTTTTTCAGTTACCTTCTGTAAGGAATAAGAATGTGTTTATTAGCTTGATTTCTAAAGTAGTTTCTCTACACTGAAATAAACTGGTTGAAGATACTACTATATACTTTGTCATAAAAAGAAAAAAGCCAACAAATCAACAACACACAACAGGTTGCAGAAAGGTAAAACTTAATTGCAAGTTGAGTAATTTATATTAATGTTCATCACCATCAAGCAAGAGGAGGAAAATGTAGTAACTGGCAGACAGAATGGTTAGGAATAACTTTGGATGTGTTTGACCCTGCAGAGACTTTCTTTGAGCTAATTATCTAACCTTGAAAGGTATCAAAGCATGAGGCCTCTTTCATATAGGATTGGAGTGATAAGAAACAGAGCGAGTAGGTTTTCTGTTGTATATATAAGCCAGAAGAAATGTTTGTTATACTATCATGTTGATTTACTGATGGATTGGAAAGCACAGTCTATCCACAGAAGGTTGGCTGCATACATAAAAGCTTTTAAATACACATATCTTTAAAAGCTGCTTTCTAGGGTTTGCCAGCACATGCAGATGTCCAGGTTTTCATAATTCAGTCAAAATGAACTTGTGAGTAGAGGGAATATTGCAGTTACCAATATCCACTGGACACAGAATAGTGCAGGGTTGACTACATTTTGTCTGTGAACTCATGCACTACAGAGGCCTGTGGTCTGCTGTGCTGCTTATTTCCTTTCTGTTGTTCTCTTTGCTGTGAAATCTCTCAACATTATAAGATGAAACCAAAATTCAGGACTGAGAAGTCTTGCCAGTGTTAACTGGCTTATAAAATACGATTCTAAGTAATAGTTGTTCCTGAGGTATATAAAGAAGCCAATTAGGTTTACAAGGGGCCTGGCTAAAAGCCTCCTTTTCTTCTCTAATGGATGAAAGTACATAAATAAATGTAAAAGATGTGGTCAGTGACTTAGTTTAGCATAAGCAAAAGTGGATGTTTCCCAACAGATGAACATGAAGACCATTCACAAGCAAATGTGTAGCTCATTAGTTTGAGATATTTAGAGAAAGTACTTTAAAGTATTAAGGGTTTTTAGCCTCAACTGTCCATATGGGAGATGAGTGATACTGAGATGAAACAAAAAATCCCAGATGCATGGAAGTGTTTTGTCTACAGTGACTACACAGAATCTGTAATATGGAGGTGATACAACATTAGAACCAAAGTGTTAAAATAACAGAAAAATTTACCAATGCATCTGTGAATTTGATACTTCAGGGGACCATTGGACATATTTTGGGTTTTGTTAGAAAATGACCTCATGTGCTTTAGTTTTCTTCCTGCTGTTCATAGTTAGCCAGAAAACTCACAGTCATAGTGGTGCAACTGTGTATTAACAGTGGACCATGTTGCAGGTTTGGGAAGCCCAGAGATGTAAAACACACAAACACACCTAAGTATACATTAGTGCTAAAATGCTCAAAGGAGATTTTGCTTAATCTGCTACTTTTTGTGGTTTTAGGCAAATTTGCGACGCAAATTAACTCATGCCATGCAGACTGATCTCAGCAATATGAGAAGACAGAACTGCACCCAAGTCTACTTGCCAAAAGATGTTAGCACCCAGACTAAGCGCGACAACTCAAGCAATGTACCCAGACCACAGATTTTCCTGGAAGGTCTCCGAGGACGATCATCTCCCACTACTCATATGGTCAAAGTAAACTTAACAAGAGCAGTAGATGAAACCTAAGTGAAAATGAGAAATCTGAAGATATATATTGAATGTATAAATAAAATTCCCTGTGTATATCTGAAATACAATAAAAAAGATTTTACTGTGTCTGTTGGCTCTAGGAGCAGTTGATTTATTTATCTGTTGGGGCTGCTGACTGGCATCAAGTGATAGAAATGATAAGCTTGAAGCACCCACACTTTAAGCAGCAATTTAGAATCAAGATGTTCCTAAAGACTTTAGCATAAACTAACATTTAAAACAGTTTCCTCAGATTTTCTTGACGTTTTAATACAGTGGCTGCCTGCTGAAACACTGCTGCTGAGAGCCATGTCTTTTGTGCACGGAGAGGATAATATAAGATGAACAGCTTTTATGAGATAGAAGGCCAATGCTGCAGCTCCCACGGAGGCGTAGTTCCCATTGGTGTGAAATGAGAGCAGCCCCGTGGAGAAGGTCTTGGGGGTGTTGGTTGATGAGACGGTTAATGTGACCCAGCAGTGTGCATGTGCAGCCCAGAAAGCCAACTGTGTCTTGAGCTGCACCAACAGGAGTGTGACCAGCAGGTCGAAGGAGGTGATCCTGCCCATCTACTCTGCTCTCGTGAGACCCCGCCTGCAGTACTGCTTTCAGCTCTGGGTCCCCAACACAAGAGGGACATGAACCTGCTAGAGCAAGTCCAGAGGAGGCCACAAAGATGCTCTGAGGTCTGGAGCATCTCTCCTGTGGTGACAGGCTGAGAGACTTGGGCTTGTTCAGCATGGAAAAGAGAAGGCTCCAGGGAGACCCTAGAGCAGCTTCCAGTGCCTAAAGGGAGTCTACAAGAAAGCTGGAGAGGGACTTTTTACAGGGACATGTACTGACAGGACAAGGGGTAATGGCTTGAAACTGAAAGGGTGTGGATTTAGATTGGACATTAGGAAGAAGTTCTTCCCTGTGAGGGTGCTGAGGCGCTGGCACAGGTTGCCCAGAGAAGCTGTGGCTGCGCCATCCCT